ACTGGGAAAGCCTCTATCCTCCCTGAGTACCAGTTGATGAAGTAGAAATCTCAATCCTGGTGTCACAGAAGTGCATGACATCTTGCCCAGGAGAGCCACTCAACTAGTCTCTCTGAGAGCTTTATCTGAGGAAGAAGCAAGGAAATAGTTTGCCCTTAAGATTGTCAACTGGTGGATCCCATAGGTTAACACACGGCTGGGCACACAGAGGGGCCCTGGAAATGTATCAGGAGACTAGAGAAAGACAGGCCCCTATAGACCACACCCATGCTCCCTGACGTCAAGAGGAAGCAGACTTGTTCGAGGTTTCACAAAGAACTAGCCATAGCCTTGGGAATCAAGCTGGACATCTCTTTCCTGAATCCAGCAGGCTTCCTGCGAGGAAAAGCACGTACCTCCAAGGCTGATGCCTACAGATCTTGAACCTGCTCATATACCACAGAGAAGGTGAACAGCGTATCTCCCTCCTCCTGGGCATTTCTTTTCTTTTGGTGGCACAAGAGTTTGAACTTGGGACCTTAAACTTGCTAGGCAGGAGCTGTACCACTGTAGCCACACACACACACACACACACACACACACACACACACACACACACACACACACAGCCCTTGTTTCCTTTAGTCAATTTTTGAGAGGGTCTTGTGGTTTTTGCCTAGGGCTTGCTGAAGACTACAATCCTCCTACCTACGCGTCCCTCTGTTAGCTGGGATTATAGACGTGAACCTCTACGCCCAGTTTACTGAAGAGATGCTAACATTTTGCTAGCAGGCCTTGAGCCATAATCCTCTTAGTCTCTTCCTCTTGAGTAGATAGGATTACTGGCATGGGCCATCATGTCAAGTATCCCTCCTAGGCACTTCTAATGTTACACAGAGGGTTCCTTGCTTCTTTTACCCCAACCCCAACTTTATTTGGGGGTGAGGAGAAGACAAGCTTCTTCTAGGAGGAGGAGGAGATGGAGAAGGAAGAGAAAGAAGAGAAGGAGGTGGTGGTAGAGGAGGAGGAGGAGGAGGAGGAGGTAAAGGAGGTGG